GATGCAGCAAATGCAGTTTTTGCTGATGTACTTTTCACAAATTACATTTCTATAAAGTAAATGACCCCATTCCCCTAATTCCTGAACTTTGATATAGAATCTGCTGTCTGATCCTTGAGAATGTCACATGCATAATTAATAATAACAGGTGCGTTGATCATTTTTACAATAGATATTGCTATTGGTATGGTCAGACTTGCTTATTTTTTGCAATTTACAGTCCATTTGTTTATGATTTTTGTTGTTGTTCCCAGGGGGGTTAAAAAAATGTTCTTAGTTTACACACTGGAATGAAGAGCCTTAAAGTATTCTAATAGTTATAGGTTCTAGCTGAAGTTGACATTTAGGATATTAGAACATATAGAAAAAGGGGGGAAAATAGGACAAAGGCCCTACTGCTTCATTTACTTATTATATTTATTGAGCAGTGATGTAGTTGACTTCTTTCTCATTAAGTTAGACTTGGCATTTGCAATTTATAACATACGTAAACAGTGTCTTCCCAATAAAGTACACAGCTTGAATGTTCATAACATAATTAAAATTTCAAAAATAAATGACAATTCACACTATCAGGTTAGAAGAAAATTGATGTTAGTGTCACAAACTAACCTAGCCAATGTAGGTTGAATTTTTTAAAAATTATTTTAGTGAAGAAAAAAGGTGTATCTGGCTCACAGTTCTGTATGGTGCTGGCATCTGCTGGGTCTCTGGAAGCTTTTACTCGTGGCAGAAGGCAAGCTGAGCTGGCATGTCACATGGCAAGAGTGGAAGCAGGAGAGAAGGATGTGCTGGGCTCTCTAAACAACCAACCCTTGGAACTAACACGGTAAGAACTCACTCATGAACTGAGAACAGCACCCAGTCCTTCCTGTGGATGTACCACCTCACCCAATCACCTCCCACTTGGCTCCACCTCCAACACTGGTGATCACATTTCAACATGAGATTTGGAGGGGACAACCATCTAAACTAATCATCCTGCTCGGAGCACCCCTGAATCTCATGTTCCCACATTGCAAAATATAATCATCCCTTCCCAGTACTCCCCCAAAACCTTATCTCAACCCAGCATCACCCTCCAAAATCCCAAGTTCAAAGTCTCCTCTGAGACTCACAGCAAGTCCCTTCCACCTAGGAGCCTGTAAAATCAAAACAAGTTATTGACTTCCAAGATACCAGGGTGGGGCAGGCATTGGATAAATATTCCCATTCCAAAAGAGAGAACTTGGCTAAAAGAAAGGGGCAGCAGGGCAGACATTACATCTTAGAGCTCCTGGTAATCCTGAGCTCCATGTCCTGCTCCTGGGCACACTGGTCCAGGGGTGGGCTTGATCAGACACCGAGGGTGGGGCTTCTCTCTAAACTGACTCAGCAAGGTTCTTGCTAAAACTGGGGTTATGTGGGCATCTTCCAAGTTCTCGGGCAGCCACCCTGGCCACCCTGTGGCTTTTCAGGGCACAACCCACCAGGGCGCTCAGGGGATCGAGATGAATGCCTGCGACTTTTCCCAGCTGAGGATGCTCTGTCATTCTGGGCTCTGGAGGGCGGTGCAGGTCCCACGGCTCCCCTCTGCAGTGCCCCGTGGGGCCTCTGTGTGGGCATCCAGCCCCGCTCCCTTAGGCACTGCCCTGGCAGAGGCTTCTGCCTGGGCGCCCAGGCCCTCCCATCCCTCACATCGCCCTCACTCCCACATTCTGCCCTTGGCAGGCTGCATGCCATGTAGAAGCCACCAAAGCTTACATGTGTGGCTCTGAGCAGTGGCCTGAGTTGTATCTGGGGTCCTTAGGGCCCTGCCTGGAGCTGGGATGTGGGCAGCAGTATCTCCAGGGGGCTCCAGGCATGGCCACACGGCCTGGCCCCTAAAACCACTCTTTCCGCCCAGGCCTCTGGACGTGTGTGACGGAGGGGCTGCCTGGAAGATTTCTGAAATGCCTTCGGGACTTTCTTCCCTCGTCTTGACTAGGAACCTTAGTTCTTAGTCATGCTCATTTCACCAGCAAATGGCTGCTCCCCAGCTCTCTTCCATTCTTCCCCGAAGGACTCTTTCCTTCTTAACCACATGGGTAGCCTGAGAATTTTCCAAACTTGTATGCTCTGCTTCTCTTTTAGTTATAAATTTAAGGCATTCCTTTGCTCCCATATCTGATCATAGGCTGTTAGAAGCAGCCACACCACTTTTCCAACGCTTTGCTGCTTAAAAATTTCTTCCGCCAGATACCCTAAGGGATCACCTCAAGTTCAGCTTTCCACCAATGCCTTAGGACATGGACAGAGGTAGCCCTGATGTTTACTAAAGCAAAACAAGGGTGGCTTTTGCTCTGGTTCCCAGCACATTCCTCATTTCCATCTGAGACCTCGACAGCCTGAACTTCACTGTTGGTATTTCTATCGGTATTTTGATCACAACCACTTTGGTCACACCCATCTCTATGAAGTTTCAAACTTTCCTCGTTTTCCTGTCTTCTTCAGAACCTTCCAGACTCTTCCAACCTCTGCCTGTTACCCAGTTCCAAAGCCTCTTCCACATTTTCAGGTATCTTTATAGCAGGGCCACTCCTTGGTACCAATCTTCTGTATTTGTCCCTTCCGCATTGCTATAAAGAAATACCTGAGGCTGGGTAATTTTTAAAGAAAAGAGGTTTATTGGGCCCAGGGTTCTGCATGGCCCTGGCTTAACTTCTGGTGAGGCCTCAGGAAGATTTTACTCATGGCAGAAGGCAAGAGGAACAGGCAAGTGATATATGTGGCAAGAGCAGGAGAAATATAAAAATGTGCTACTTTGAGTCTAACAATATATACAGGGGGTGTCAAAAAATGCACACACATTTTAACTATGATGTTTGCTCAAAAGATGGTGTTAATTAAATCAATGTTAGTGTCACTATGTGACAGGCAGGACAGTCAAAGAAAATGGTGGAAGCATAGCTGAACGAACGTTACTACACATTGCTACCGCAATGTAATTCAATTTCAAAAGTAATACATAGATAACATCTTTTAAAATGTGTATACATTTTTTTTGGCTCCCTTCTATTTAAAAACTCGTTTTAATTGAAAAAGCTGACATTAAACACGAATGTCAGGCATAAAATAAGAATTCAACACAGCAGTGTTTTAAGATTAGAATTCTGAGGCTGCATTATTCTGCTAGAAAGTTAGGAAATAAACTGGGCTCAGTGGCTCAGCCTGTAATCCCGCGCCTTTGGGAGGCTGAGGTGAGTGGATTGCCTGAGCCCGCGGGTTCAAGACCCGCCTGGGTAACTTGGCGAGACCTCATCTCCACAATAAATCAAAAATTAGCCGGGCATGGTAGCGCGTAGTTCCAGCTACTTGGAAGGCTGAGGCGGAAGGATCGCCGGAGCCCAGCAGGCCGAGGCTGCGGTGGCCGGGAGCGGCCACTGCACTCCAGTCTGAGTGACAGAGTGAGACTCCAACTCAAAAAAGAAAGAAAGAAAGAAAGTTAGGAATACATAGAACATAAATTGTATCATTTTTGTAGAGACAGGTTCTCACTATGTTGCCCAGGCTGGTCTCGTATTCCTAGCCTCAAGGGCTCTCCTGCCTCAGCCCCCAAAAGTGCGAAATTACAGGCTGGGATTAGCCTGCCTGGCCTGCACTATTTTAAGAACACAAGTTGGTAATAAACACTCTTTCCAAGCAACATACTGGAATAGTCTATCAGAAACTGACAATTCATATCAAAATTAAGGCATTTTATTGAAAAACTTAATGTAGTGCTTTTTGTCTAATACTCGAGCATTTACTGATTACAATTAGGTAATTCAAGGTAAAAGAATGTGAATTTTCTCCTACAAATAAAAGACAAAGTGCTCTAACTTATTAGGCCACAAATGCTTTATTACATGAAATTACAAATGCTAGTTACAATTTAAAATATTAAGTGCAATTTAGATTTTTTTCCAGTATTGTTTTATACTTAGAAGTCAGATAAGGAAATACTATATAGTTAGAGTCCTAAATAAATTTTTAAATTTTCTAGTATGAAAAATTCCAACAAAAGTAAAAATTCTGTTTATTCTTACAAAAATGTTTATCATCGTATACTTTAGAAATGCAAAAAACAAAACAGAGCAATTGGCACCACGTAAGTGCAAACTAAACAGAACCAAGAGCGAAACAGAATACACTGCCAGCCAGCAGGCTCTACAACCAGACTGCAAAACGTGGGCTGTTCTTACAAATGGTAAGAATTCCTGAAGTCACAATATCTGGTGTGTAATTATTTTTAAGAGAACTTAATTTCACAAAACAACTCGTTTAAAACAAAGCAAAGTTGAAGCACTAAACTCCCTCAGATTCTGAATTTGCCCTTTTGTCTATAACGAGGGAACATAGCCGCCAAGTCAGTGACTGTCAGCTATATACCATTAATGAAAAGACACTATACAAGATAATATGGTACTTTCGTGTAACTAAGAATCTGAATTTAAAGTATGTTTTTCTATTGAGGGAAGGTAATATTCCACAGTGAAGAAACCAAAGAAGTGAACAAAATCTTATTCATAGCTTCCAGAATGACGGGTTTCTTAATTCAAAATGATTATTCGATTCAGAACGAAGTACCACAACAGCACAACTTTGCAACCTAAGGGTGATCTGACATGTCATGGAGAGGAAGGTAGACGGTGCCCTCCAATAATCTTTTATTTTATAAAAAGAAGATCAGTATTTTATTATCTGACATTTTTTGGTATTAAAATATGGTACTAATTTATTAAGAGACGATCCCACCTTGAGTAAACGTATTTTCAAAATTACACACCTACAAGTCACATATGTGTAATACTAAGTTTCATTGTACACAGCATCTCTTTTAAGGACAATATTAAGACTGTCAACATGCAATTTAAGCAATAAGTGTGGTATCTAAACTGTAGGTTCTAGGAAAGTAACAAATGTTTCTTCAAACATAAGCCTCGCTATTACAAGAAAAAGATGTCCCCACCAACAGAGGTACAGGTAAGGGGACAGCTAACCTGATTCGGAGTCACTGCTGTCTGAAGAGCTTGAATCGCTGCTGCTGCTTTCTGAGGAGCTGCTGCTGCTACTGCTGCTGTCACTCAGACGGGAACCCCTTGCAGCGGCTTTGGATGGCTGTGCTTTCTCGGCTACAAAACAGAGAGACACATGAGCATGCCGGGAGAACTAAAACATCACAGGAACGTGCAAAGACTGCCACCTACGTTTTGTTTGACGTTGTCTAGAATTTAGTTGATGGTTGACAAGCAGTAAGCGCTTTTCCAACTCTCGTTTTTTCTGCAAGTAAAGTTCTTCTTTGGACTTCATCGTTTTCTTAGCTGTATGATATAGGAGACAAAAAGTGAGTAGAACCAAAAGTTGGCACAAATGCCAGACTGATTTCTATGACTATACTGAAACACACACCAGGAGGTTTTGGCGGTCTTTTTCTTAGACAGGCTGAAACGTATTTTTCCAACTCTCTTAGTGTTGATGCTTTCAGTGTTTCGAAGTCTATCTCGATCTCATCAGGATTGGAATTCCTCAGAGAAGGCTCTCTTGATTGTATTATGTGAACCACTCGCCCAAGTTTATCTCCAGGGAGTTTGTTTATATCCAAACTTAACTGCCTTTTCTCATCATAGTTCATAGGTTTAGCATTAGCTTCATCTTCAGCTTTCAGGGCAAAGATCTGCTGTTTGGTCTTCTTTGGTGGACTAAAACAGAAATGATGAAATTTAGTAGAATGAATGTTATTATTTTTTAATTTTTTTTTAAAGATGTGGGATACAATTCAGGGTTAGGTATACAAATGTTCATTATGCAGGTACCCTTGTTGATGAGGTGTGCTCCCCCGGCCCCGGCAGTTTCCCACAACTGCCACTCCCAACCCCCGCCCCCAGCAGTTTCCCACGACTGCCAATCCCTTTCCTATAGTATTACGATAGTTGTTCAAGGTCCTCTTATGAATGAGAACATATGATACTCATTTCTTTGTTTCTGTGATAGATCACTCAGTATTATTGACTCAAGTCCACCCAAGTTGCTGTGAAGTTCATAATTTCGTCCTTCTTTATGGCTGTGTAATACTCCATCATGTATATGCACCATATTTTTTTATCTAGCCCTCTTTTGATGGGCAGCACAGTTGGTTCCATATTTTTGCAATTGTAAATAATGCTGCAATAAACATGCATGTGCAGGGATCTTTTTCATAGAGTGATTTGAGTTCCTCTGGGTATATTCCCAGTAGGGGATTGCATGGTCATATGGAAGGTCAATTTTCAGATCTTGTAGAAATCATCAAACTGTTTTCCACAGAGGTTGTAACAGTTTACACTCCCACCAACATTGTAGAAGTATTCCCTTTTCTCCGCCTCCTCTCCAGCATCTGTTGTTTTTTGAGTTATTGATGATGGCCATTCTGACTGGAGTTAGGTGGTATCTCAGTGTGGTTTTAATTTGCATTTCTTTGATGACTGGCGAGGCTGAACATTTTTTCATGTATCTGTTGACTGCTCATAGGTCTTCTTTTGAGAAGTGTCCATTCATATCTTTTGCCCACTATGTAATAGGGCTGTTTTTTTCTTTTTGGCACGTTTGAGTTCCTTGTAGATCCTAGATGTTAGGCCTTTGTTGGATATACAGTTGGTTTTTATTTTAATAAGCTATCATAAAAGATACTTACTTGCTCTTGGACTTTTCCTTTAGCTTCATTTGCTTACACTTTTTTCTTGGAATTTCATCTCTGTTATTAACCGTTTCCTGTTTTTTTTCTGTTTTAGCCTTCTCTTTCCTTTTCTTTAGCTTACGGAAAGGTACTTGGGACAAAACCTGTAGCTGTTGATGCACAGCCTTAAGCTGAAAAAGGAAAAGAAAACATTTAAACATTCATGGCTCCAAATAAAGACACTAGAAAAACTCTAAAGCAATCCCAAGTCAAGGGTATTTTTTGTGAAATTCATTTTGTATTATATTTCCTTCAGATTTTTATTTTATTCCACAAGTTCATTGTTTTAAAGGGCATATACTAAACTACAAACACTAACATGTGTTCAACCCATAAACTTAAATATTATTCTAAAAACAGATCAAGAATAATTAACATTTCCAGGTGGTCTTAATTTTCTAAATTATTGATTTTCGGACTGGAGCTCAGAGTAGGTTATCATTTTATCACAAGAGGTAGCAAATGTTTAAAAGGGGCTGGGTACAGGGGCTCAAGCCTACATAATCCCAGCACTTTGGGAGGCTGAGGTGAGAGGATTGCCTGAGCCCATAGGTTTGAGACCAGTCTGGGCAACTTGGCGAGACATCATCTCTACAGTAAATCAAAAAATTAGCTGGGCATGGTGGCGTGTGCCTGTAATTCCAGCAATTTGGAAGGCTGAAGAGGAAGGATCCACCTGAGTCCAGTAAATCGAGGCTGTGATGGTCGTGAGCATGCCACTGCCCTCCAGCTTGAGCGACAGAGACTCCAACTCAAAAACAAAACAAACCAAAACAAAACAAAGGATCTCATTTATAAAATATCATAAATAATTTCAATGAGAATCAACCACTCATGTAAAGGAAAAAAACCAATTTTTTAAAATAACAGAATTTTACAACAGGTAGATACTTGAGTGGGAACAACTATTAAACATTACAAATGTGCCAATAAGTAAATAAAGCCAAAATTGCTAAATGATCTAAATATGGCAGCTTTAGGACTGGGTGTGGTGGCACACACGCCTGTGATCCTACCACCTTGGAAGTTTGAAGTGGGAGGATTGTTTGAGCCCAGGAGATCAGGACCAGCTGATCTCAACATAGTGAGATCTTGTCTCTACAAGAAAATAAAAAATCTACCCAGCTACTCAGGAGGCTGAGGTGGAAAGATTGCCCGAGCTCAGGAGTTTGAGGCGGTGAGCCATGATCGTGCCACCACATTCCAGCCTGTGTGACAGACTGAGACCCTGACTCAAAAACAAAACACTTGAATCAATACAATCAACTACCTGCTCCTGAAGCTTTGCAAGACGCTGAACTCGTTCATCTTCAGAATCATCAGAAGAGTTACCTTCAGAGGAGGCATCACTACTGCTTTCCCTACCAAGGGTTTTTGATGTATCTGTTTTGATGTAACATACGGGCATACTCTCAACAGGTTCATCTGGAAGCTTTGCAAAAAGCACTTCAAAAACATCCTAGAATGGAAAATTAGACTGTTATGGCTATCTGCAATTTTATTTAATGCAGCAATAACAATTTTTTGGGTTTGCCTTTTTTCAACAATTAAAAACTTTCAGTAAAAAGTACATCATGCCAGTAATCCCAGCACTTTGGGAGGCAGAGGCAAGAGGACTGCCTGAGCCCAGGGATTCAAGACCAGCCAGGGCAACTTGGTGAGACCCCAGCTCTACAATAAATAAGTAAAAAATTAGCCAGGCATGGTGATGTGCACCTGTAATTAATGAACTTGGAAGGCTGAGGTGGAAGGATCGCCTGAGCCCAGCAGGCTGAGGCTATAGTGGCCGTGAGTATGCAGCCTAGGCGACAGAGTGAGACTGACTCAAAAAATAATAATAAAAATTTAAAAAGTACATTTTCAGTGTCATATTTTGACTAGAAATTGAATTTTCCTCTAAGATATATCAGAAGAAATATATGAAGACTCTTGCTCCTCTACCTGCCAAACCAAACAATTTTTCTCCATTTTTTTCAGGGAAGATCGACCTCTCAAGTTACACAGGGATCTTCTTTCACAGGCCCTGTAGCTGGTACGTCATTCCTCTGTATGCAGGGAAACTGCATTAAAAGATCTGCTACTAAAGGATGCAATAACTCACAAAGCAAACAACCCTCACAATTTTTAAGTGGAATTTATAAACTATTTTGAACTATTTAAGGGTGTGGGTGCTATTCTTTCTCTCTTGAATTATGTGTGTTTGATTGTCTTTAGAGGCAGATTCTCACTCTGTTATCCACCCAGGATGGAGTGCACGGTCACTGCAGCCTCCAACTCCTGGGCTCAAGTGATCCTCCTACTTCAGTCTCCTGAGTAGCTGGAACTACAGGTACTCAACACCACATCTGGCTGATTTAATTTTTTTTTTCCAAAGACGTTTCCCAGGCTGAATTTTAGTTCTCAACATTTTCTTAAACTATGTTCAGAGGAAAAACTCAGAGTGCAAGTAATAACTCACTTGGAGCATTCTTGCCATTGTCACGACTTCATGATCTGGAGGATTGTATTTATAGCAATTAATGAACATCAATCTAACATCTGCAGCAAATTGATATGCATCCTTATATTCTTGGTTGTCCATTTTCCCCTAAATTAAACGACAGGATTCACAAACAATATAGTTCATTTCAATAATTATTTGAGCACCTATCTTCAGGGTTTATATTATGAAATTAATCCAAGGCCGGGCATGGTGGCTCATGCCGATAATACCAGCACTTTGGGAGGCTGAGGTGAGAGGATTGCCTGAGCCCATGGGTTTGAGACCAGTCTAGGCAACATGGCGAGACCTCATTTCTACAATAAATCAAAAAATTAGCTAGGCGTGGTGGCGTGTGCCTGTAGTTCCAGCTACTTGGAAGGCTGAAGAGGAAGGATTGCCTGAGCCCAGCAGGTTAAGGCAGCAGTGGCTGTGAGTGTGCCACTGCACTTCAGCCTGGGTGACAGAGTGAGACTCTTGACTCAAAAAAAAAAAAGGAAAGACATTAATCCAGACATATGAAGAATACATAAAATAACAAATATGGGCTACCCACCACCTAGATATTGCAAATTTTAAAATTTTGCAGCACCTTTTCCATGTTTTTGAGACTTTGAAAAAATTCAATGAATTCTGACAAGTAGAAATGAGAAAGGAAGCCATTCCAAGCAAAGAAGAGAACAGGAACAAAAATCACAAAGCAGAAAAACAGTGTTCCCATATAATTGTGAGCAGGCAATTTTCAGAGTAGGAAAGCAGCGAAAAGAATCTCCTGAAACCAACCCTGAACATCTAAGAGAAAGGTTTACATTAAAACCTTCCTGGGGTTGGTGGCTCATTTTGGGAGGCCAAGGTGAGAGGAATGCCTGAGCCCACAGTTTCAAGACCAGGCTGGGCAACTTGGCGAGACCTCATCTCTACAATAAACAAAAAAATATTAGCTGTGCATGGTGGTGCATGCCTGTAGTTCTAGCTACTTGGAAGGCTGAGGCAGAAGGATCGCCTGAGCTCAGCAGGTCCAGGCTGCAGTGGCTGTGAGTGTGCCACTGCACTCCAGCCTGGGTGACAGAGTGAGACACCAACTCAAAAGAAAAAAGAAAAAAAAAAAACCTTCCTGGGAACTAAGACACTATAAACAGAAAAGTCATGTGAGCATCAGTTACATTTTGGTAGCTGCATGTAAGATGCATAGAAGAAAGAGATGCAGAATAAGCCACAATGAAAAGAAAAACAAACAAGAAAATCTTAGAGACTATTGAGCAAACCATGTATAAACTAACGATAATCAAAAATAGATACAGGCCGGGCTCAGTGGCTCAGCCTGCAATCCCAGCACTTTGAGAGGCCAAGGTGAGTGGATTGCCTGAGCCCGCGGGTTCAAGACCCACCTGGGCAACTTGACGAGACCTCATCTCTACAATAAATCAAAAATTAGCCGGGCATTGTAGCACACGCCTGTAGTTCCAGCTACTTGGAAGGCTGAGGCGGAAGGATCGCCGGAGCCCAGCAGGTCGAGGCTGCGGTGGCCGGGATCGGCCACTGCACTCCAGTCTGGGTGACAGAGTGAGACTCCAACTCAAAAAAAAAACCAAAACCCAGATACAAAAGGCCAATTAAAAAATGCAACAAACCGAACTTCATTTTTAATTCAAGAAATGCAAAGCAAAAACATGAAACATAATTTTCTACCAGTCAAATCATTGGCCATTAAGAGTGTCAGAGAACTAAATCCAAGTTATTATCTTCTAGTTTTTGGAATCCATAATAACCTAACTAATCCCCACATTGCTGCTAGAGAAAACGTTATAAAAATCAAATGAGGGCATTATTTTCATGTTTAATGGCAGCTCTGGTCCTCTTTATAAAGGTTGTTCTTGTTGAAGACCTAGATCTCCTTTCAGTCTCATTTCCCCCAGCCATTCTTTTGTATTCTCCATGTGTTTCAACTTGGCCTAAATATACTGTTCTGAACATGTACTCTTCACCTCAAGGCCATCCTACAAACTGATCCCCCTGTCTGGAACATTCTACGACTGACTATGTCCTATTTATCCTTTAAGACTCAGCTCAGATGTACCTATTTTGGGTTATGTTTCCTGATCTCTAAATCTCAGCTGGTATACAGAGAAAAACTGAAAAGCGGTATTCTGAAGAACTCATGGTTAATCATTTTTTCAGAACTTAAGATATGAGTCTTCAGACCAAAAGTGCTAATTTCCAACTAGATTAATAAAAATTAAATGTACAATCAGAGAGAGACAGGAAAGACAGATCGCCTTATAGGGATGACAAATAGCCTGACAGCAGATCTCCTACTAGCAGTGACAGATGCCAGAATACATCTTCCAAATGCAGAGGGAAACTAATTGTCATTCTAGAATTCTATAGTCAGTTAAAGAATGATTCAAAAATAAAAACAAATTGCAGACACTTTCAGACATATGACTATGGAATTTACCACCTGTACACTCTCATGGAGGCAGCACTAATTCTGGACTTCAACAGAAAGAATAAACCCAGAAGGGAAGAGCAGGATGCAAAAACTGAGGGTAAGCATGAGAACTAGTAACATGCTAAGAAGCTTCATGTTGTAGATGAACATAGCTGTGTTTAAAAGAAGAACCAAGGCCGGGCTCGGTGATTTAGCATGTAATCCCAGCACTTTGGGAGGCTGAAGTGAGAGGATTGCCTGGGTCCACGGGTTCGAGACAAGCCCAGGCAACTTGGTGAGACCTTGTCTCTACAATAAATAAACATTAGCCAGGCGTGGTAGTGCACACCTGTAGTTCCAGTGACTTGGAAGGCTGAGGAAGAATGATCACTGGAGCCCAGCAGGTGGACGCTAGGCTGGGGTGACCATGAGCGTGCCACTGCACTCCAGCCTGGGGTCACGGAGTGAGACTCTAAAAAAAAAAAAAAGAAAAACCAAACACCTAGACAATGAGAACAAGTGAGGAGCATAATGAATGAAGCATCATTCAGGAGGAAGACTAAGATATTAATTGGGCTATACTGCTATTCTTTTAGTAGTTGCCCATAAAATTAATATGTATAAGTTATATTGTTCCAATACTTTAGTTTTCAAATCAGCAATTAAAAAAAAAACTTACCAATCTAGCAGAAGACTAAAAAAAGGCAGGGATAGAATTGGAAACTACATAAATGCCTTACCAAAACAAACAAAAATAACACTAAAATTATGTAATTATTAAAAATATTCTTGAGGATATATAACAAGAAAATGTCCATAAGTGAAAAATCCAGGGTACTGATTATAATTACATAGTATAACTTAAATATTGTAGTAAAAAACAATAAACGCATTTAAGTACAAGAGAATAAAAGATGCACGAGGTCTGACAATTAGGTTCATGAACCAACCAAGAAAAGGTGCTACATACCTCACTGCTGAATATCACTATGGTCACCTTTGAAGTCCTCCCCTTGGGAAGCTATGCACCAATGCCAGTGCCTAGTCCACCGTCAAAGCAATTGTGGAACTCTTTTTCTGGAATGGCCATCAGAGCTGTTGTTATTTATTGAGGTTTGACAATTAAGTTTGCAAACTTGCCACCATGCACTTACATTGGCAGCACTGTACAAATAACTGTATCGACACCCTCCCTACTCACCTGCTCTGGCCCCCAATGACTTTTTTCTTTATCTGAAGACAAAGGAAATATTGAAAGGAAGACATTTGATGACATTCAGGACATCAAGGGTAATATGACAACAGCTCTGACGGCCATTCCAGAAAGAGTTCCAAAATTACTTTGGCAGGTGGACTAGGTACTGGTGTTGGTGCATAGATTCCCAAGGGGAGTACTTCTAAGTTGACCGAAGTGATATTCAGTATGTAGCACTTTTTCTAGGATGAGTTTGTGAACTTAACTGTCAGACCTCATATCTTAAAATGTTCCAATGATTCATTCCAAGTGGTATGACTGATGATTTTAATTTCCATTATCCTTTCTGGATTTAAGCAAGAAAAGAAGTTCCTCTATTAAGGCAACATTTACCTTAATAGTCCCAAGATCCATGGGATTTTTGACAACGTCATAGTAGTTATGGAGTCCCAAAGCATTAACATCAACAGGATTATAAAAGGGCCATGCATATGATAAATGTTTCTTCGAAAGCAATTCTTTAAGAATCTCACTACAGTGCCTCAGTTGCTCAGTTCCTGTAACACTCTTTATGACTTTACATTGTTGCTGAGAGTCCGGCAAAACATTCTTCAGCATATTCTCTCCTATAGGTGGCATTCTCCCTGGTTTTTTTTCTGTAAGTGCCACAGAAGATTCACTACTTGCTTTCACTACTGAAGCAGTAGGGGTTGTAGTATCTGCTTTCCTCTTCACACCCTTTGTAACCTAAAACAGAACAATTCAACAACAACAAAACTGTATTTAATGTGATATTCAGATATTTGATGTGATTTTCAAATTATTTTAACCAATACCCTTTGAGCTTTAAAAAAAGGGAACGTTGACTGGCACCAAATTTTTATATAGATAATTTATACATATTGTTGTCAATCCATGCATTTATTATTAGTAAAGGTTAATTTCCTTTTAAGCCAAGTAAATCGTTCCAATATCGTCTTCCCACACCCTAAAGAACGTCTTGTGCAAACTCTTAAGATGAATGAAAGATAAGAAATCAAAGTCATGGTTTGGTTCCCAGAAATGCTTCTGAATATTGGGAGTCGTCTAGGGCAAGGGTCCCCAACCTTCAGGCCATGAATTGTACTGGTTCGAAGCCAGTTAGGAACGGGCCTGCCCACAGAGGTGAGTGGCAGGTGAGTGAGGGAAGCTTCATCTGTATTTACAGCCACTCCCCATCATTCACATTACCACCTGAGCAACGTCTCCGGTCAGAGGTCAGCAGGGGCACTGGATTCTCATAGGAGTGCCAACCCTTATCAACTATGCATTGGGAGGGATCTAGATCGCACATCCCTTATGAGAATCTAATGCCTGCTAGTCCAAGGTGGAGCTGAAGTAGTGATGCTAGTGCTGGGGAGTGGCTGCAAATACAGATTAGCATTAGCAGTGAGATTTAGCTGCACAGAGACCCTAACAAATCGATTGCTTGCAGACTCAAATCAAAATTCTATCAATGAGTGGCAAGTGAGTTGAAGTACTTCCGTTGTACAGCTGCATCTGATGGTAGGCTTTAAGTCAGAATCTGAAATTTATTTTAATTCGTGCATGGGCAGCCCATTACTTTTTTTTGCCACGTCCGTCCACACCTCTTTCCTACACTGCGTACTTATTTCAGTCACAGTTTTGTAAGCCCACAAGATAACCATAGCTAAAATGAGTAAAAAGCAAATGTCACTGGAGACCTTCTTTGAAAAGGGGGAAAGACCCAGTGATGAGCTAGCAGAAGACTCTTAGACTGCCGACAAAAAGAAAGTTGCATTAAGAGAAAATACCAAGAGTCCTACTTAAATTATGGGTTCATTGTAACAGGTGATTCAATGCTCCATGTCTGCTTTGCATAATATGTGGCTACCGGCTATCCAGCAGAGTCATGAAACCTTCAAAGCTGCTTCACCACATGGAGACCAAGCACCTTGCATTAAAAGATAAGCCTTTGGAGTGTTTCTAAAAAAAAAAAACAAACGTGAACACAAGGAACAGAAGCAATTATTGAAGGCCACCACTTGTGTCTGCACTGAAAGCATCATTCTTAGTGGCTAATCACATTGCTAAAGCTAAAAAGCCCTTTACTACTGGTGAAGAGTTGAACCTGCTGGCTAATAATATTTTTCATGAACTTTAAGGAGAGGCTGCCATTCAAAGGTGGCCGTGTTCCTCTTTCGGCTAGCACCAGAACTAAATGAATTGATGAAACAGCAGAGGATACTGAGGCACAGTTGTTAGAAAGGATTAATGAGTCATGGCATGCAATCCAGGTGGATGAGTCTACCGATTCTGACAACAAGGCAACAATGCTTGTCTTTGTGCAATACATTTTTCAGGAGGATGTGCATGGGGATAGGTTATGTGCACTTTCGTTGCCAACCAATACCCAGCTGCAGAACTATTCAAGTCTTTGATTATGTGTTAGGAGAACTGGACTGGCCATTTTGTGTGCATGGATGGAGTAGCTGCCGTGACTGGATGGCTTTCTTTTTACTACTTGTGTCAAAGGGGTCACTTCTGAATGTGAGTTTACGCACCTTGTCATCCCCAGATAAATGCTGGCTAGCTGAAAAATGACACCTGAACTTAACAACGTTTTGTAGGATATCATTAAAATTATCAACCACATTAAAGTATATGCCCTTCACTCGCATCTGTTCGTGCAGCTCTGTGAGATGAACACAGCACACACATGTCTTTTCTTACACACAGAAGTGAGATGGCTTTCTAAAGATAGAAAGGCCAAAGTTTTTGAGTGATGAGAGCCACTCCAGAGATTTCTTTTAGAAAAACAGTCACCACTAGCAGCACATTTCATTGACACAGAATGGGTCACACAACTTGCTTACTTGTGGGACATATTCAACCCGCTCAACAAATTCAATCTGTCACTTCAGGGGAGAATGACAATTGTGTTCAAGTCAGCAGATAAAGTGGCTGCATTCAAAGCCAAACTGAAATTATGGAGATGATGAGTGAACACTGGAATTTCCGACATATTTCAAACATTAGCAGAGACTTTGAAAGAGACTGAGCTAGGGTCTTCTTTCTCCCAACTGGTGCTTGATCACCTATCTCAGCTTTCAAAAGAGTTTGAGCATTACTTCTCAATCACAAGAGACCCCCTAACAAGAAAGGAATGGCTCTGTGACCCATCTGCGACTAAGTCAGGTGGATCAATTTTGTCCTTGCTAGAAGAGGATCAACTGCTTGAGATCGTAACTGACAGTGGCCTTAAAAGTATGTTTGAAACAACTTCAAATCTCCATACATTCTGGATTAAAGTCAAGGCAGAGTATCCTGAGATTGCCACAAAAGCACTGAAAACTCTGCCTCCATTCTCAACATTCTATCTTTGTGAAGTAGGGTTTTCTGCAGTGACAGCAACCAAAACGAGATTACGAAGTAGACTGGACAAAAGCAACACACTTTGGGTGTCACTGTCTCCCATCATCCCCAGGTGGGACCACCTAGTTGCAGGAAAATAAGCTCAGGGCTCCCACTGATTCTGCATTATGGTGAGTTGTATAATTATTTCATTATATATATCATGTAATAATAATAGAAATAAAGTGCGCAATAAATGTAATATGCTGGTATCATCCCCAAAACAACTCACTGCTCTCAGTCCATGGAAAAATTGTCTTCCAAAAAATTGATCCCTGATGCCAAAAAGGTTGGGGAATGCTGAGCTAGGGTATATTAGTACATTAAAAAACAAAACAAAACTATGTAGGTTGAGGTAAGAGGACTGCCTGAGCTCAAGGGTTTGAGACCATCCTGGGCAACTTGGTGAGACTTTGTCTCTACAATAAATAAAAAAATAATAATAATCCAGGCGTGGTAGTGTGAACCTATAGTTCCAGCTACTTGGAAGGCTGAGGCGGAAAGATTGCCTGAGCCCAGCAGGTCGAGGCTGCGGTGGCCGTGAGCCTGCCACTGCACTCCAGCCTGGGCAATAAAGTGAGACTCCAACTCCAAAAAAAAGAAAAGAAAACTATGTAGATGGAGAACTTCTAGCATGAGTACCATCAGAATACGAAAACAGTACAAATTTTACCTAAAAAATCTCTACAATTTGGCTAGCCTCCTAGGTCTTGGTTCACAAAATGTATAGAGAGGCAGAAAGAGGATGACTTAAGATTGCTATATGCTGAAGATCAAGCTTCCTATTGACTGAAAAAAAAGCACATATACCACAGCATCCAAAGCTAGAAACCTATTACTAGAAAATGACAATAAACTCACTTGGGTCACAGTCTGTGAGCCAGCGTTGAGTGGCGCTGCTTGGGCCATGTTTAAGTGAGAAGCAGACGTCTCGGGAAATGCAGAAGGAATCACCTGCGATTTAGATACGTTCTCTGTTGCTTTGGGGGATGTTTTTTCTTTAATAGAAGAAATGGCTACATTCTGTTGAGTACCTAGTAAAGTATGAGCCAGAGTCAAATATTTCAGTGAGTAATATATAAAACACCATTTTAGTATTCTATTTTAATTCATTTGGTTCAGCTTTGCACAATATAAAATCAGTATACTTATTCTATTTTGAAATCCTCCCACTCGCTGCTGCTGACAAGTTAGACCAATTTAGGTATAATAATAGAGACTTCAAAACTCATTATTAATGATAGGTTTATCAATTTTTTCCAAAAAGGTGCCTGGCTTAAACAAAGACTAATACTAGAGCTCCGTGGTTGACTTTAGGTGACTATGAACATGAGGGAAAATTTCAGATAGAACTAGGTGAAGTGCCATCATCACATTTGATATACGACATACAGATATCCCTGGTTCTATAATTCTAGTTAAGCAGATTCAGGAACTAAATAGATCTGAATACATTGTAAGATAGGGCTGGTCCACCTCCGGATCTGATTACCATTTTGTGAGAAGTGGTTGGATTCTGGATATGAAGACAGAGGTTAACTGGATTTGCTGGTGGACTAGAAAGTAGGTTTGAGAGACAGCTGAGTCAAAGAGGACTCTCCAAGGTTTTTGTCCTGAGCAGTTAGAAGAATGGAGTTTGGCTGCTGAAAGGACGGACTTTTGAAATAACACTCTTCAGAGTGATGTGATCCAAATGTTTTAAGTCATAACATTCTCTAGGAACATGCAGGGCAGAGGAACAAGCACAATTGTTCCCCTGGCAGAACTGTCTGAAGGAGTATTGATAAGAGAATCACGTTCACACCTTTTGTCCTGTGGTAGACCACCTGTAACAATTATGAGGCCCTTGGATATTCATGCAGAGCATCCGAAGACTTCATTATGCAGTACTATGTAGTGAGTCTCCAGGTTATCTGACCTTTTTGCAAATGTTCACAGCTATCTGAAACTAACCACAGAGCTCTATTATGAGTCCTAGTTTAAGCCAGTTCACTACTCACTAAAATTTAGGAACCAAATCAATTCAGATGACCTCACAGCCCTTGTTATTATTCCAACTGCTGTTCTTTGGACTCAAGAACTAAAAAGATATGCATAATGAGGCATGCTTACATTGACTAATTCTGTCTACATCCTTCACTAGAATAAAAAGCTCTGTGAGGAGTAAGGGGACTTTGTTTTGGCCACCCCTACATCTCTTGTGCCTAATACAGTGCTTGGTATATAAGAGGGCATATATGCAATATTTACTTTATGCCTGTTATGTGCTGGGCATCATCTTAGGTGCTGGGGCACAATAAGGAGCAAGACAGATATAGTCTCTGCCCTTGTAGAGTTTACTGTAAGGAATAGACAAAACATGCAGCAACTTGGATGGATTTAGAGTGTATCATACTGAGTGATCTATCACAGAAACAAAGAACAGAGTACCATATGTTCTCACTCATAAGCAAACCTTGAACAATTATCATAATACTATAAGAAAGGAATTGGCAGTAGTGGGAAACTGCCGGGGGTTGGGGGGGTGGGATTGGTAGTTAAGGGAAACTGCCAGGGGAGAGAGGGGCACACCTCATCAACAAGGGTAACTGCATAATGAACATTTGTATACCTAACTCTGAGTTGTACCCCACATCTTAAAAAAAGAAAGAAAGAAAGAAAGAAAAAAACAGACAAAACATAACAAATCAGAGTGATTATAAGTTATATTAAGTGTTAGGGAGGAAATCAACAGGGTGCTGACTAAGGCACAGACCTACTATTGAGAAGGTTAGCGTGGGAGGCCTCCCTGAAGGTGACAACCAAGAAGCCACTGAAAGGAAGAAAGAGCCAGCCAGGGGGATGGGGTACAGAGTAGAGAGAGAGTGGCAATAAAAAAAAAAAATGCATTCTGCTGGGTGTGGTGGCTCATACCTGTAATCCCAGCACTTTGGGAGGCTGAGGCAAGAGAACTGCCTCAGCCTGGGGGTTCAAGACCAGACTGGGCAACTTGGTGAGACCCTGTCTCTACAGTAAATCAAAAATTTACCTGGGCATGGTGGCACGAAGTTCCAGCTACTCGGAAGGCTGAGGCAGAAGAATCACCTGAGCCCAGCAGGTCGAGGCCACAGTGGCTATGAGCATGCCACCATACTCTGGCCTGGGTGACAGAGGAACTCCGACTCAAAAAAAACAAAAAACGTGTTCCAAGACAATTAGTGGGGAAAATCTTAGTGAGTGAGAGGAAAGCATCTCAGGAAGAGACTGGGCAATGATCAGAACACAGAGGGCCACAGGATGAAACTGAGATTTCATTCTTCCATAGGAAGCCAAAGACAGGTTTTTCTGCTTTTGCTTGTTTTTACAGTATAGGGTCTCACTCTATCACCCAGGCTGGTGTGTAGCAGAACAATCATAGCCCTTTGCAGCCTTGAATTCTTAGGCTCAAGTGATCCTCCCACCTCAGCCTCCAAGTAGCTAGGACTATAGAGGCACGTGCCACCATTCCCAGATAACTCTAAAAAAATTTTTTTTGTAGAGACAGGCTCTCCAGCAGTCCGCTTGCCTTGGCCTCCCAAAGTGCTGGAATTCCAGGCATGAGCCACCGCAACTGCCCTTATTAGGATAACTAGGAGTAAGAAAATGGTAGCAAGGACAATTCAAAGGTTGGATCCAAACAACTTACTAATGGACAGAATGTGCAAGAAAGAATTAAGGCAAGGAAGGAACTACTTCTAGGTTTCTGGCATGAACTGTATACACACACACACACACACACACACACACACACACACACACACCATTTTCTACCATGGGGAATATCAGAGTTTAACTGTGAGCATGTTAAATATGATATGTGTATAGACTTCCAAGTGGCAACTGGGCACATTGGCTCATGCCTGTAAACTCTACACTTTGCAAGGCGGAGACGGGAAAATTGCTTGAGCCCAGCAGTTCAAGAACAGCCTGGGCAACATAGTAAGATCCTGTCTCTAAAAAAAAAAATCAAAAAATTAGGTGGGCGTGGCAGTGCATGCCTGTAGCCTCAGCTGCTCCGAAGGCTGAGGCGGAAGAATCAATTGAGCCCAGGAGGCAAGCCACGGATGACAGAGACCTCGACTCAAAAAAACAAAAAAAAAACAAGACCAACCTTTTCCAAAATAAGAATAGTAACTTTAATCATCAGTGAATATCTCACAGATATGCCTAAAGCATACCATAAATCACAATCCATCTTAAGATCAACAATAAGAAAAAGTACTTATTACTCTCAGTCAAAACAACCTCCACTATGAATCCACTATAAGCCTCCTATATCCCAAGCATGTAACTATATACTCTATAAACACTTATAACCATGAAAGATAAATACTTTCCTGATATTACAGAGAAGGAAACTGATCTAGAATGATTAAAGAACTTGAAACAATATTACACAGCTTGAGTGACCCAAAGATACGTCAATTTATGACATTCTTGGTTAATTTCTATAATAAATTCATTTTAATACTTAAGATTAATTTTATAATTCCACATTTAAATGATAAAAGTATTAGCTGTAAAGATGATTTCCTCTAAAGATTTTTGTGAGCGAGTTAAGAAAAAATTAGAGAAGAAAAAGAATCTTCAAACCAAAACGTTAACATTTCATTCTCAGCTATGGGAGTGCTTTCAGTACAGAGCACACTGGCAACTCGGGCCTTCTTACCGGTTTAGCACAATACAAAATCCCCAGAAAATACTAATAACTGCTATGGTTTACGTTTCCCCACTATGTGAATGGCACTGTGCCATGGGAAACTTGGCTTCAAGGCCATAATCAATGCAGTCCTCCCCACTGCTGCATGATACCCGTCCCTGTGATCAAGACTTAGCAGATCAATTACATGGACATTTTTGAACTGGGCATGGTGGCGTGCATCTGTAGTCACAGCTACTTGGGAGGCTGAGGTGGGAGGATCATTTGAGTCCAGGAGGTCAATTGAGGTTGTTGTGAGCTGCGATCATGTCATTGCACGTCAGCCTGGGCAACACAGTGAGACCTTGACTCAAAGAAAAAAAGGATTTCTAAATGGACACTTTGTACCAAAAGAAAAGAATGCAGGACTTCTGGATGTCTGTCTCCTTTGAGGGATTTTATATTTCACGCTAGTCATTACACACTTGCACACCACGTGCACGCACAGGATGCAGAGAATGAGGGAGAGACAGCATAAAACTGCTCACCTCCTGGCTTACCTTTCTTTATTCTTTCCTTACCACCAACAACTTGCTCTTCTTGTGGCATCTGAGATAATTTCTGCATAAACAACTTCTCTAGAGCTTGTGCCATAAGAACAATGTCATCCCCAGGCTACAAAATATATTAAATATGCCATAAAGATATACACAGTATGATCGCTGCGCCAAATTTTTAAAATTCAGGTTACTTTATTGAAGGCAGTAACACAGTACTCATAGACAGTATTCCTCTCTTCTATATCAAGTTTAGAAAATAGTGAAGCAACTCAAGTTTTAAATTCTAGCATCCTATCCTTTCACCTGCTACAAAGGACCAGACCAGAATGCCTTTCTGAGCACTATAGAATTATAATCCAGTCAACCAATTCAACTAATATAAAAAAGTTAGAAATTAAAATTTCAACCTCATAAATAGGTTAAAACAAAACTTTTTTGGGGGATCAGGGGTGAACAGGGTCTCGCTCTGCCACCCAGGCTAGAGTACAGTGGCATAATCGTAGCTCACTGCAGCCTTGAACTCTTGGGCTCAAAGATCCTCCCACCTCAGCCTCCTGAGTAGCTGGGACCACAGGCACACACCACTGAGCCTGGCTTATTTTTTTTTTTTTTTTGCTTTTGTAGCAACAAGGGCTCACTTTGTTGCCCAGGCTGGTCTTGAACTCCTGGGCTCAAGTAATCCTCCTGCCTTGGCCTCCCAAAGTGATGGGATGCTAGGCGTGAGCCACCTTGCCTGGCTGGTTAAGACAAAATGTATTCATGGTTTGACTTAAAGTGATTTAGTTGTGTTTTTTTTTTTGAGTCGGAGTCTCACTCCGTCGCCCAGACTGGAGTGCAGTAGCCGCTCCCGGCCACCGCAGCCTCGCCTGCTGGGCTCCGGCGATCCTTCCACCTCAGCTTTCCAAGTAGCTGGAACTACAGGCGCGCGCTACCACGTCCGGCTAATTTTTGATTTATTGTAGAGATGAGGTCTCGCCAAATTGCCCAGGCGGGTCTTGAACCCACGGGCTCAGGTAATCCACTCACCTCAGCCTCCCAAAGGCGCAGGATTACAGGCTGAGCCACCGAGCCCGGCTAGTGATTTAGTTTTTAATTAACTAATTAATAAAATGATACTGTAGCCACCGTGGCTGGTTTATTTTTTAATTTTTTGTAGAGACTAGTCTCACTATGTTGCCTAGGCTAGTCTCAAATTCCTGATCCTCCCTCCTCAGCCTCCCAAGTAGCTGGGTCTACAGACATGTGCCATCATACCTGATTCCAAGTGAATTTTTTTTTTAAATGGTATAAATGGTAAGACTTCCATAGTAGGTGGTTAAGATATAAAAATTGAGTCAGTGCTAGAGTGTCCAGCCTGGGCAATATACCGATATCCAGTCTCTTAAAAAAAAAAAATCACACTGACTAATAGTTGTAAATTTTTTAAACACATAAGGTTTAATTTTTTTAAACACACAAAGTTACCTTCTGAATCAAATCAAAATATTGATTACATTTCAGTGTCACTACCGATTTTAAATAAACTAAATGCCAAATACTTAGATGCCTTATACTTAAATGGGACATAGGCTTTAAAGTATTTACATACCTTAGAACAGCTTGAAAAGGATACAGTACTAGAGGAAATAGAAATACTATATAGAGGAAAACCAAATACAGATATCCAATTTTATGAGGGAGAGCAAACGTGAAGATTAAGTTCAAAATGTCTACATATATCATACAGGCTAATGTATTAACACATATGCAACTACTACTACAGGACAGAAAAAGAATGTATCTGATCTTTAAATCAGCTTGTGAAGTTTAGAAGCATATAATTTGGGACAACCCTTTGGGATCTCTCCTGCTGCTGGGAGCTATGCTGTCTTCCTAATAAATTCCTACTTTCTCAAAAAAAAAAAAGTATACAATTTATTTGGCTAATTAGGTGATGGCCAGGCCTATACTGTGAACACTTAACCATAATTTATAAGTAAAATGATAGGAATGCAGTAGAGAACACTCTGAAACATTTTACTCACAGAAGCTAGTTGCCAGAAATCAGTATTGGCATTTCACTTTTGTTAAAACATAATAAGCCACTACAGCTACACAGGCAAAAATAGTATGGCAAATAGATTGAACAAATATTGACACATGGAAATTATAAAATCCAGTAGAAAAACATTATCCTTAAAAATATGTAAAAAGCTGGGTTTGGTGGCTCAGCCTGTAATCCCACACCTTGGGAGGCTGAGGTGAGTGGATCACCTGAGCCCGTGGGTTCGAGACCCACCTGGGCAACTTGGTGAGACCTCGTCTCTACAATAAATTAAAAAAAAAAAACTAGCTGGGTGTGATACTGCGCGCCTGTAGTTCCAGCTCCTTGGAAGGCTGAGGTGGAAGGATTGCCGGAGCCCAGCAGGTCAAGGCTGCAGGGAGCGGCCACTGCACTCCAGTCTGGGCGACAGAGTGAGACTCCAACTCAAAAAAAAAAAAAAAAAAAAAAAACCAGAAAAGAAAAAAAGATGTAAAATATCCCAAAGACTTGAAATCTGAAATAAGCACATGATTTAATACATATCTCTTCCATATGTAATAGCAATGAATTAGCAAGTGTAACATAAGGCTTACATACCTTGTTGTATAAATAACAATTTGAGAACATTGTATTAAAGTCTTCTATACATTCTGAAGCCTCCACATAATACTTATTCTCCAAGCGCTTCTTAATTGTATTTAAATCCATTGGGTTTTTAATAATGGTGTAGTAATCCTATTGTTTTGGAGAAATTCTAAATGTTAGTAAGAATGAATACACTACAACTATTGGAGCATAAAGAAATTTAAATAACTATACACCTGTAACTAGAGAGAGCAACTTTAAAAAGCCATATTCTAAAAACCATAACTTTTAGTAACAAAAAATAATGCTGAGTGCTGTGGCATTATTTTTCAGAGAGAAAAAAAAAAAAAACCAACAAAGGTAAGAATGTAAGAGCAGAATTATTCTGGGACATAAAAAATAAGGGACATTAGGAAAAACAAGCTAGAAGCACTTTAGGGTATCTATCTGAAAGGTCCAGAGTAAAATCCTACCTTTGTGGTTTGCTAGCTAGCTGTACTACTAATTACTTAACCATTCCGTTATTGAGTGGCTAAAAATTCCTAATATAAGACCTAAAATTGTCAGGCACAGTGGCTCATGCCCGTAAGTCCAACACTTTGGCAGGCTGAGGTGGAAGAAATGCCTGAGCCCAGGAATTCGAGACCAGCCTGGGCAGCATAGCGAGACCTTGTCTCTTAAAAAAAATAAAAAAATAAAATTAAAAATTAAAAAAAGATCTAAAACTGAATTCTGTATGTGATGCAAGTAAATCTGCCAGAAGTTCAAGAGAGACTTCATGGAGATACATTCACAATAACCCTGCATCAAAAGGTCATGTGATAAATGCTATAATGGGAAAACATGTATTATAATTTATTATAAACTATTAAAATAAGAATGTAGGCCATTGCCTTGCTAGGCTCTGGTGTGGCCATGTGCTCTTTGAACTACGGCTCTCACCATGCTTCCTGGCTTTGGCCCCATCCCCCTCCTAGGGGAGGTGACTCTTCTCTTTCTCTCTCATTTACTTTTAAATAAACTATTTGTTCCGCATGGTAGTTTAAGCCTATAATCTCAGCACTTTGGGAGGGTAAGGTGAGAGGATTGCCTGACCCTGCAGGTTCGAGACCAGCCTGAACAACACAGTGAGACCTCGTCTCTACAATAAATCAAAAAATTAGCCAGGTGCTGTAGCACGTGCCTGTAGTTCTGGCTACTTGGAAAGCTGAGGCGGAAGGATCGCCAGAGCCCAGCAGGTCAAGGCTGAGGTGGCCAGGAGCATGCCACTGCACTCCAACCTGTGTAACAGAGTAAGACCCCAACTCAAAAACATAAATAAATGAAATATATTTAAATAAATAAATAAACTATATTTTTAATCTAAAAAGAAAAGAATGTCAATGCTCATAAAAATAAGCTTTGTTTCTTGGGGAAAAAATACTCATTGGGATATTCTTCAGTGTCACTAAATAAATCAGGTGTTTCTTGTTTTTTAAGTTTTATAATGTTAAAGATGAGTTTATTTCTTACAGAAATTTACAAGATTTTTTTTAAACTAACAAAATTATAAGACATACTCACAGGCAAATTTAGTTTCACGGCATCCACAGGATGTTGAAAAGGCCATGAAAAACTATGCTTCCATAAAGTCTTTAGGACAACTCTTTGTAAGTACTGCAGTTGATTTGTCAATCGCCCATTTTTCTGAGTATTGATGTACTCTGGTGGAGGAGGGTTAACAATGGCCATTTGTCGACTTGGCAGAGACATTCTTAACTGCTTCAAATCCTGATATTCTAATGTTGTCTACAAGTACATGTCCTGAAATAGAAAAAACATAGTACCTTAAAAGCACTTGAACATAAATTCTATAGGTGCTTAAGAGGGTTATTAAAGAGAAGCAGACATGGTCTTTTAAAGCTCATCATGATTAAGATAGAAAAAAAGCTAAATGGCAAATGAATCCACTTTTCAACAAATACAAACCTTTTTCTATACAAGTAGTAAAAGTTGTTTCATTATATATGGCTTAGTCTTGGATAGTTTAAATTATTTCAACGTTTTAGTCTTTCCTTCTGCCTTTCAAAAATTCAAATTGAGGTTTTAGCAGGAAAAGCCTATAAATTCCTGGTAAAGAGAAATGAACAGGAAATGTTAAAGCTATTATTACATGGGTATTCTATAATCATTAATTCGAAGGGAGAAAAGCAAAGTTAAAGAGTTTTCTGGCTAACTTGAGTAAAGTGATTTATTTAAGACCCAATTTAATAGAAAGAAAAATGCCAAGTGTTAAAATGTTACTCTTGGGTGGCCCAGTGACTCACACCTGTAATCCCAGCACTTTGGGAGGCCAAGGTGGGAGGATTTCCTGAGTACAGGAGTTTGAGGCCAGCCTGGGCAACATAGCGAGACATTGCCTCTATAAAAAAAATTTAAAAGTTAGCTGGTATGGTGGTATGCACCTGTAGTCTCAGCTACTAGGAAGGCTGAGTTCAAGGACACGGTGGGCTGTGATCATGCCACCATACACCAACCTGGGAAACAGAGTGAGATCACGAATCAAAAAAATTTTTCAAATGCTACTCTCTGGCACATGTTGTTACATCTAAAATAATATACTTTTAAATTTCATGGGTATTTCAGAAAGACGATATCTAATATTCCCAGGCAGCATTATTACTTTAAGGACAAAAGAGCAAATGTACAATTACCAATCTGTACACAACATGTCAAGTACATCAGTGAAACGAAAGTATGATTATCAAATAAGTTGTCCAATTTTAGAGATCTATCTCTGTTTTGCATCAAAGCAGTGTTAGTTTTCAATTCTTGTTTTATATTAATCATTTGTGGATCTTTAATAATTACGGTAAAATTCATATCAAAATTTATGCTCGTAACCATTTTTAAGTGTATAGTTCAGTACGGTTAAGTATATTTATATTTTATGTGAAACCAATCTCTAGAACTTTTTCAACCTGCAAAACTGAAACTCAGCTACACCCCATTAAACACCAACTCATTCTTCCCATACTGCACCCCCAGTACCTGGCAGTCATCATCCTGTTCACTGTTTCTATGAATTTGACTACACTAGATACTTCATTTGTTGTGTTTTGTTTTTTTGAGTCGATGTCTTACTCAGTCGCCCAGGCTGGAATGCAGTGGCATGCTCATGGCCACTGCAGCCTCGACTTGCTGGGCTCAGGCGATTCTTCTGTCTCAGACTTCCAAGTAGCTGGGACTACAGGCATGCACCATGCTCGGCTAATTTTTTTGATTTATTGTAGAGACGAGGTCTTGCTCTATTTCCTAGGCTGGTCCTGAATTCCTGGGCTCAGGCAATCCTCTTGCTTCTGCCTCCCAAAGTGCGGGGATTACTGGCCTGAACCACTGCACTTATATTACTTGGCTTTAAATACTTCATAAGTGACTAATCATAGTATTTGTCTTTTTTGTGACTGGCTATTATTTCACTTAGTGCAAAGTCCTTGAGTTTCATCCATGCCATACATAGCATGCATCAAAATTTTCTTCCCTTTTTTTTGAGTTGGAGTATCACTCTGTCGCCCAGACTGGAGTGTAGTGGCCGCTCCCGGCCACTGCAGCCTTGACCTGCTGGGCTCCGGCGATCCTTCCGCCTCAGCCTTCTGAGTAGCCGGAATTACAGGCACTCACTACCATGCCCGGCTGATTTTTTTATTTTATTGTAGAGATGAGGTCTCGCCAAGTTGCCCAGGCGGGTCTCGAACCCGCGGGCTCAGGCAATCCACTCACCTCGGCCTCCCAAAGCGCGGGATTACAGGCAGGCTAAGCCACAGAGCCAGCTATTTTCCTTCCTTTTTAAGGCTGAATAATATTCCATTGTGTGTGTGTGTGTGTGTGTGTGTGTGTGTGTGTGTGTGTATCACACTTTGTTTATACATTCATTCACTGATGTCATTTGGGTTACTCTCATGTCTTGGCCATCATAGTGCCATTACGAGCATAGGCTTACAAATATCTTGAGACCCTGTTTTCAATTCTCTTGGGTATATATACCCAGAAGTTCAGAAGCAGAATGGCTAGATCACATGGCAACTGTATTTCTGACAGGTTGAGGAACCCGTTCTGTTTAGCTATTCCACATTGCCACTAACAGTGTCCAAGCATTCCAGTTTCTCCACATCCTTGTTAATGGTTATTTTCTGTGTTGGTTTTTTAATAGTAGCCATCTTAATAGATATGAGGTGCTGTGGATCTTTTTAAAAATACCAATGCTCACGCCCCAACCTTTGGAGATAGGGTTAGGAATCAGTTCTGTTTGTTTTTCTCAAAATTCCTTGGTGCTTCTCATGTACAGCCAAGATTGGGTACCATGACATTAAAATGAATTAATTTGGAGGTGGTTCTCAATTCTATAATTTACTGCCCTTCATGATTTTGCTTTTTTCATATTATACATATATGAAATAGAACACTTAACAGAAGTCACTAGCCAGGTGTGGTGGCTCAAGCCTGTAATGCCAGCACTCTGAGAGGCTGAGGCAAGAGGAATGCCTGAGTCCAGGGGTTCGAAACTAGCTTGGGCAACTTATTGAGACCTCGTCTTTATAATAATTAAAAAAAAATTAGCCGGGTGTGGTGGCACATGCCTGTAGTTCCAGCTACTTGGAAGGCTGAAGTGGAAGGATCACCTGAGCCCAGCAGGTCCAGGTTGTGGTGGTAGTTAGCATGTCACTGTACTCCAGCCTGGGTGACAGAGTGAGACTCCAACTCAAAAAACAAAATAAAACAAAGCAGAAGTCATTAAGAACAAAGGTGAAAAAAAGGAATAAATGAAGACAAAAAAAGAAAAAGAGAAAACAAAAAAAGAACAAAGGTAGAGCTGTTCTAGGGTGTAACAACTAAGTAGGCTTTTATTCTGGCTATGCAATTTTTAAAGTTAGCCTCGTTTTGGAGTATCTCTAATCACTACACTCTCCCTCATCCACACAAGCTAATCACAACCCTGACTTTTATCACCATAGATCAAGTTGTGACCATTTCTGAACTTTACATATAGCATTATTTGCTATGCATTATATTTTATCTGACTTTTTTTTTCTTTTGCAACATGGTCTCACTCTGTCATCCTGGCTGGAGTATAGCATGGTGATTCTGGCTCACTGCAGTCTTGACCTCCTGGACTCAAGTGATCCTTCCCCCTCAGCCTCCTGAGTAGCTGGGACTACAGGCACGTACCACCACACCTGGCTAATTATTTTTTGATTTTTTTTGTAGAGACAAAGTCTCACTATGCTACCCAGGCTTCATCTGACTTATTTTTCTCAATATTATGTTTGTACGACTTAACCATGTTATTCCCTACAGAGTCTGCCAATTTTCATTGCTGACTAGTATAGTATTCTGCAGAATCATACCATAATGTATCCTTCCCTCTTGGGACTCGGGGGTTGCTTCCTGCTTTTGACTATGACAAACAATGCTGCCGTGCTTGTAGCGAGTGTAAGCAGGCAATTACGTGGCCTTGAAACCATGTTCAAGCCAGGAGTGAAGTCACTGGGTCACGTGCATAAGTTCAACTTTAGCAGACACTGCCCAAGTTTTCAAAATGTGCCAACTTACACATATGACAGCAGTCTGAAAATGTGTTACCTCATATCCATGAGCATATTTGGTATTCCAGTGTCTTCCATTTCGGCCATTCTGACAGGTGTGTAATGAGATATCACTGTGACTTTAATTTGCATTTCACTGATGTTCCATGATGCAGAATACCCTTTATGTGATTCCTGGGCATGCAGACATTTTGTCAAGCACCTGTTGAAGTGTCCTACCCATTTTTCGACTGGACTAGATGCCATTTTCTTATTGATTTGTAATAGTTCCTCATGTATTCTAAATATAAAATCCTTGTTATCATGCGTGCTGTAAATATCTTCTCCTACGCTGTTGCTTACATATTCAGTCTCTTAATGGTGTCTTTAGATGATCTTTATTGTTAGTAAACTATATTCATGTACTTGTAACAGTCTCAAAGTGAAGAGAAATCTCTGAATAACGTTAAATTCACTTTTTTGTTTCTGAGTGTTAGCTACAAAATTAAAATGCTTAAAGTGTTGGTGAGTAGGAGTTCTAGAAAACCCGCTTTTATAGTCCTTATGTATAAAACAATTTTTTAAAAAGGGAATATTGCATATAGGTTTTTTTTTTTTTTTAAAGTTGGAGTCTCACTCTGTCACCCATACTGGAGTGCAGTGCCCGCTCCGGGTCACGCAGCCTCGACTTGCTGGGCTTCGGTGATCCTTCTACCTCAGCCTTCCAAGTAGCTGGAACTACAGGTGCGCACAACCATGCCCGGCTAATTTTTGATTTATTGTAGAGATGAGGTCTCGCCAAGTTGTCCAGGCGGGTCTCGAACCCACGGGCTCAGGCAATCCACTCACCTCGGCCTCCCAAAGCATGGGATTACCAGCTGAGCCACTGAGCCCGGCTGCATATAGGTTTTAAACTTCTCTTTGAAAAAAACTTTCTACATCCATCTCCTTAATTTAAAACTGTGTTACTCAATATGGTAGCCATATGTGGTAAATATCATTTGAAATTCAAGCCAGGCGCAGTGGCTAATGCCTGCAATCCCACAGCTCCGAAAGCTGATGTGGGAAGATTGCCTGAGGCCACAAGTTCAAGACCAGCCTGGGAAATAAGACCTTGTCTCTAAAAGTATAAATAAAACTGG